TTGCTACGGCACGAAAAGTGCAAAAACGCATAATCGCACCAGCCCTCCTGGTGCGTTCCAGCCTGGTTGCGTTTTTTCTGTGCAGCGCTCTGGCGCTGCAATAGTGAGCAGAAACGCATATAGTCGAGAGGCCGTTCATGTATGTGTGTGTGTGTGTGTGTTTGGAAGCGAGTGAACTTTACAATCCACTTTCAACTCAGCAGCCAGAAAAGCTGGGAGACTGAAATTTTAGGATCATATTCCCACCCCAATCTCTCGTTTTATTCAATCTTCGCTCATACGCACCTAGATCTTACGTATGGACCACCGAAATAAATGTTAATTTCTTTAGCGGGAAACGATTTTGTGAACTAAGCAAAGTAGAAAGCTGGAACTTTGCAAGGGTGTTCACTGTGCATGTATGAACTAAAGATTTCAAACTCAGTTAATGCACACGCTTATATCGCGTACACGGTCACGTCAAAGTTCGCAGTTGGCACTGTGATAACTTGAAAACTAGCCGGGAAACAGTAGCTGAAATTTAGTCAGAATATTTGATGTTTATGTGCAAAGTCGCGTACCGAAACTGCATTTCGATTTGCAATTGCGCCACCTCTGAGGGGGCTTCAGAGATATAGCGAAGTAGCTATTTTGCTTTCCAGACAAGCTGCAAAGCTGAAACTTTCCAAGGATATTCTATATTCACGTGCGCTCTTAATTATTATATTCCCCGCATGCAGACATGACAAACACTCAATTTTGTCGCAGTTTCAAAAAGAGTGCATTTTGCAGATGCATTTCATATCCCCTCTCGACTTTCCTCAAATTTGTACTTTTCCAATGAACGAGCATACACTAGAAAAACGACAGGGTTTCATGCAAAAAACTGATAATCATGCACAGTGGAGGTCCACGCGGCCCTGTAATGCAACAACTCCATCCTAGCCGATACCCTTTCCTCCTGTATGCAGGAGGGGTCAGGCACAGCCAGTATTAGCCTGTGTTGAAATACAACGTCGCGACCACTCCTGCTGTTAACGACCTGCATGTTTAATACAAAAACGTATGATCTCATCTGCAAGCCTGGTGCTTGCAGTCTGGGTTTTTTTCAATCAAGTTGACCAGAAGATGGTGCGATTTCGGTCAGTACAGTTGATGAATGTTGCTGGCTTTCGCTTTGCTCAAAAACATACAACAGTGAAATCAGAGCCATCAGTTTCACTGTATATCTGGTAATGGGCATTAATTTCAGATTGTTAACTGGCGACATTACCTAGATTTGAATAAGTCTTTTGGTATAAAACTCTCCTCGGAATGCATCGATGTGATCCGAAGACTATGTTGTGAGCAGGAAGACAGATTAGGCTGCAAAAATGGTGCTGAAGATCTCAAAAGTCATGTTTGGTTTAAGGTATATCCCCTATCGAATTATTCAACTTACACATTATTATTTTTATGTTTTGTACGCGGATAAGCATGCGTTTTTGTTCAGACGTATGTGTGGGAACAGAACTAATACCATCCTAATCGGTTGGCGATGCAGTAAAGGTTTAGCAGCTGTGCACGCAAAACACAAAAAGTGAGCTATGAAGAACAACATGGATGAAAGGTGCAAATACGGGCCCATATATCGTGGCGCCCATTGGTCTGGTCCAGGGTGACCACCGTTCGGAAGCCGGAATGCGTAGATTGCTGAACTATCATCTACTTCCATATTAAGCTCGAATCTGCATTTATCGTCACGTCTGCATATTTGGTCGACGTGGGGCATTTCAGCGCAAAATTCTAGTGAGGAAGGGAGGATGGAGGAAAAGTAC